TCTTAGGGCCTGGATTGGCTCCAGAATAACAGTTTTCCTTCGACATAATCATTGTTGAGAAGATTTCCTTAACTAAGATACATTTTTGCAGTACCTGGACTGCAGTGGTATCCTACGAAATTCTACCTGGAGTAACCAATCCTTTTGCTGGCAAGTTTTTTTAGACAACAGTGACAGCATACAGTAGTAAACTATATGTACCAGAGAGTAGGCTGGCTGTAGCATACAAGAACTGATCAGAGATTTTAATTTCTGCAGCTGAAGAGAGAAAAAGTTATCTCTCTTAGTTCCCGAACTGGCTTTAGCACTCAACACCTTGATTTGGGCTACTTATTCTGGCCCTGACTAGATATTCCCTACAATAATTTCCGTGTCACCACCAGAACAAGCTCTCGGAAGGGACTGCGATACAATGGTAAACTATGAGGATGTTAGGTATATTTTACAAACCTAAATCAAAGGCCCAGAATCACTGGAGAGTGGTTGCTTAGAGCGGGCATTACCCTTATGTCTAGCGCTTCGATAGTATTCCGTGTCGGCCGCTAGACGGAAGAAAGAAAATCTAACAAGCGGCTGTCTAAAATCGAGATCAGTACTTCGCAAGCTGCAGCAACACGTTTACAAGTCGTTCATATTGGTCTATCTCACAATGGTACTTTACCAGTCCGGACAGAAGTTTCTCATAAAAGAACCAATTCCACTTTATGTCAGCAGGTAACCTAAGAAAATATGGAATCCGAAATCCCAATTTCGAAATACCAAAGGAAAAAGAAAAATAATAAGGCAGCCATTAAGTCGAATTGAAAGTGGGATAAAATTACTGGAATTTTCATTTAAAATTCACGACTACACAGAGAAATAAAATCCAATATTTCCGAGTCCCACGAATCAGGCCGTGCGCCCAGCGAATATGGCTCTTGCTGAAAGCATTAAGTAAAAAACATTAAATAGCTGTACCGAGCAGCTAAAGGAAAGTAGTACATAAAACATAGGACCTACATAAACTTTCTCCATGGCGGGCCTGATTTGCCGTACAGAAACATGCATCAATGGTCATGAGCAGAAAACCCCACTCGATTTGCTAGTAAAACCTGCTCATTTCGCAAAATTAAACACCTACACATTTCACAATAAAATAGCATCAGCTTCCATTTGCTTCAACCAAATTGCGTGAAGGTCAATTGCTTAAGAGAAGGTGATGCCTTTTGCTCCGAAATTAATTCTATGTGCCTTTCCGCGATCTCATTATTCGCTTAACTACTCATATCTCTCTATGTCTCCAAATGCGGTAAACTTAATTCAGGCTAGAATGAAAATTTATAGCGCATTACTCGCGCTTCCAGTGCCTTATTTTGTGCCGACTTTAAATGCATTGTTGGATACCGTCGCCTCTTGCTGAGCACTCTCTACTCCGCACAACGAGAATACAAGCACAACATGCCGGCGGCGCGCATTTACGAGCGCGCCTTAGCTAATGAGACAAATTTTTGATGGGACGTCGCGCGGCATTTGCAAGTTTTCTTCCTGCGCCAGCGAGTGGTGTCCTTCTGCTTTCTGCAGCTGCAGTCGTCGTTTGCTTGTGAAAACAAGTTTAGATGATTATTGCCACCATCAAAGGCGCTAGTGAAATAAACGCAACATGACTTTCGACCAGATGGCCAACTCCACTCCAACCCATGCAGCATCTTCAACATTTTTGTGGGTTACTGCGTGCTGGAGATGAGGATTTTCGGTAAACAACGAAAATCTGATTATACGCGACAGCAATAAAACTGACAGCAGCAGGCAAAGTGTTGCTCAAAACCATACATCCTGTTTCACTGGCACTCTGCACGTCGCCGGTTGATGGTTGGCGTGAGTGAGCGTTCGTTGCCTCTACTATCTCGGGATAAAAGTCCTGAAGTGGCAACGAGGAGTTGCTGGCGGGTGTACAAGTGGAGGATCGTAATAAAATGCGCTGGCGCATCTGCAGCTGCTCGCAATGCGAAATGTTAGTTGCACATAATTTTGCAACAATATTTGCATTGTGATCACCCCCCCCGTTGCTCAGCTATTTGATGGCATCTGTTCTGTTGTTGTTTTTAATGTTGCTGTTTGCATTGTTGCCATGCGGCAATACTCTTGTTGCTGTTGTTGTTGTAATATTCATTGTCGGTTGACTGTTGCGGCATGGCGCACAAAAGTTATGCTGCTAATCTTGTAAGTTGCACAGTGGTGTACGAATGGAGAATTTTTATGGAATTTTTTCTATGGCGTAGCGCCCAAAGACCAACAGAAAAATTAAAGGAAAGCTACGTTCAGTCAAGTACTTCAACTTTGCCCATCTTCTGTCATTCTTAGATTGTCGAAATAAAGAAACGCTGCTGATTCTGTGAGAATATTCCACTTCAAGGTCCTGGCCTCTCCTTGGGGAGGTTTATAAGTAGCCTGTATCTCTTTGGATTGTGTCCCCCTAATAGTCTCTTCGCTTGACGAAGTACGGAGATGCTTCGCCAATGCAGTTCCCTCAGTTCGTTATTTTCCTTCCTGAGTGCCTCCTTTATCGTGCTGGGACCCACCGCAAGGAAAGGCTCCGGTCCTATCGGTGTCGAGGCAGCCGCCATCCTGGCCAGCTGATCGGCCACTTCGTTTCCCTCGACACCCATGTGCACCGTGGTACCCATGTTAGCTGGATTGTGTTGTGCACAGCAAGGGCATTAAGCTTCTCGATGCAATCCAAGGCAAAAGAGAATTCGACCTTGAAGGATGTGAGAACCATAAATGCCGCCTGACTGTCGCTTAGTATAAGTATCCATTCCCTTCGATAATTTCTGCGAAGGTTAATCTCTGCGCATAGACTGATTAGATAGACCCGCTTGGAAGATGCTTGGGAAAGTCCCCAAGGGGACTAAAATATTCAGCCTGGGACCGTATACTCATGCTCCAATACCCTCAGGGTCCTAGAGCCGTCCGTGTACCACTGTAGAGTGCTCTCCTGGACGTGTCCTTCTAAGATAGACGTGCTCCAAGACGCCTTTCTGTATATATTGACTATTTATGAAGTTTCTTTCAAATACCGTTCTGTACATATCATCCCTGGGTCACAGCACTAATGGAAGCCTACCTTGTCCCTGTTCCTGGATGATAGCACTTTACCTTTACCAAGACCCTCTCTCGCAAAGTTTAAGAGCGTTTGTTTTGTCAGCTGTTCAATCATAATATATAGTGGCTCCAGTTCAATGACTACTTCCACCAGCGCTGCCGTCGGACATGTGCGCATAGCCCCGCGATGCAAACACACGCCAGGCGTCGAAACTTGGCAAGAGACTGTCTTGCCGTCGCCAATGGATGCAGAGGTATCTCTTTCAGTGTGTTAGACCTGATTTCATGGTCGATAATCTTCTCCATTGCCTTCAGCATAAAGGAGGTTAGACTTATCGGACTTAATGACTTAGTTAGGGAGTAAGCCCTCCTATCTATTTTCGGGATAAAGATAACCCGCGCCGTTTGCCACACCACTTCGGGAATGTGGGCCAGCGCTAGACTGTCCCGCATTATGTCGACAAGGTGTAGAAGTAGGAGCTCCTCACCCTGCTTCAGCAGAACTGGACTGATGTCATCCACCCCGGGGGCTTTGTACCGTTCAAAAGAATCCAACGCCCATCGAACTGATTGTTGGGTTATTAAGCCTTTGGCCAGCTTCCAGTCCGATGGGAATGGCCTGACTACGCGGAACACCGCATCCCGGGTTGACGGAATGGCATCAGGGAAGTGGGGAACATAGCAGAGCGAGTGCTCTATCCTCTTCGTTACCGGAATAAGTGCCGTCTGGTAGCCTAATGGCTAGCCTGGTTCCTGCAATCTAGCAATCTAGCAGCCGCAGGGGTAGATGAGATGCTCTCACAGAAGCACCTGAAGCTGCTACGCTTCACTTTTCTAATCGCCTTACTGTATGTTGTTAGGCTCGCTGAATACTCAACCCCAGTTCCCCGTGCGCTTTGCTCGATTGAAGAGTCTGCGCACCTCCTTCCTGAGTACTGAGAGCTCCCGTAACCACCAAGTAGGCTGAGACCTCCCCTTTGGCTTAGACACGGCACAGCTAGAGTTACATATATGGAAGTATCAGCTTTATGCTTGAGTAAACTTTCATAGCCAGGTGGTCTGTGATACGACACCTTCTTAATTAAGCCTTTGTTTGTTAATCTTTTTAGGAAATACGCCGTCATAAATATTTGTTTATCTGCAGTTGCGGCTAAATGTAAACACTGTGCGAATGTAGGTTCTTTTGGCTTTGCTACTTAGGTGGATTAAAAGAATTTATGATTTCCATATTTATCACTGTTGGTTATAGGATTATTTATTATTTACTGTAGTGACAAAATTCACTTAAGTACTCACAAAGTTGGCTAAAAGTTTTCGCTTCGAAATTTTGAGCGTAAATTTAATTTGATACTTAATTTAAGGCGGCATTAAAATTTTAAATTACTGCCGCTTCAACGACACACTCCTTTCTTTCTGTGCTACGCGCAATTACAAAGCTTTTTGCGCGAGTAAGTATAAACTAATCGAAGAGTATTTACCTCAAACATTTTTATATTACACTACACTCGGCTACAGCAAATTTCCGCTAACAATTGTCAATGCAGACAAAAGCGCGAGACAAGTAAAATACTTAACGCCAGTTCCTGATTCTCAAGATTACAATTTCCGCTTACAATGTGCGTCAATATTTAAGAAGAAATTAAGAGTACAAAAAATCTCAATAAAACGCAAAAGGGTGGAGAAAAAGTAGGAAAGCGAATGAAAAAAAAAAAAAAATATCACCTTTTAACAAAGCTAACAAAAGGTAAATACCGGCACATGAATAATGAAAAGCGTGTGCAAATTTGTGCATCAAATCACTCAGAAGTGTAGCAGAAGGCAGCTGCTCCAAGCACTACTACATCCTTTCGCAGGATGAGGGCGTTTCAGGTGAAAGCAAAGCTGACACAGAGAAACGTAGCGAAAATGAGCGCACTTACCTTCAAACTTTTCATACGCAGCGAAGCTTAACTTCTCCGGCACATAAGATAAACGCCGACAGCCGCTGATGTACTCCAAATGCCCGGCCATGCCTGCGGCGCTGGCACTTCCGTTGGCGCTGGCGCTAATAGTATTGGCCGCTGTCGCTGCTGCCTTCTCAGCCGTAAATGTAGCAACTTTTTTGAGTACATTGTTGCTAAGCGTCGTTGTCGGTGTGGCAGGGGTGGCCGGAGTCGCAGGAGTCGCCGGAGTGGCTGGAATGCCGGCGATGGCTGGTGTTGATGGTGTTGCCGTTACAGCGGCTGTGGCGGCCGATTCCGAGTATACACCAGCGGTGGTGGTAGGCGTTGATGCAGCAACTTCCGATGCTGCAGTTGTTGGTGTTGTTGTGGTTGGCGTAACCAAACCAGTGGCATCCCGTTTCGATGTTGCCACTGGCGGAGGTGTGGCGGGATGTGCGGGCGTTTGGTGTTGAGACTGAACAGGTGTTTGTGATGATTTAAACGAAATTATAACGGTTGATTGAGTTTCTGTCGGAGGCGGCTGCGGCGGCGGCGGCGGCGGCAACAACTGTTTGTTGTTCAAGGTGCTGGCATCTGGCGAAGGCGACATCGAAGGCGGCACGGAATATACGCATGAAAGAAATAAGAAAAAAGGGGAAAAAATATATTTTGTTACATCTCATCTGTTTGTTTTTTTTTCTTTTGTTGCTTTGTTCGAAGAAAATGAGTCAAACTTATTTTCTTGCAATTGTTTGTGCAGCCTACTTTGGTAGGCGGTGATGAGCCGGAAAAAAGGAAATTAAAAGAAAAAAGGAAATCCGCATAAAGTAATAAAATGAAGAGAAATGAAGGAAAAGGTCGAACGCAGTGAGTCTTACCAATAAACCCAATAAAAGGATAATATAATAAATAACCTCGAAAACATGACTCGCCCAAGTGCGTGTTGGAATTTCTTGCTTGCTGCCTGAGCTTTGAATAAATATTTTTTGCAGCCACGCACACACTTTTCACGCTAAAAGCTTGCTTAGTTACCGGCTACACACCTACACCTCCCTAACTAGCACTCCCTCAAAGCTTGCGTGCGTCCCATTTTGTGGCCTTTGGTGTTAAAGACTTTTGGGTTTCTGTTTACGTTTTATATTTTATGATTTCTTTTTTTTTGCAAATTTTCATGTACATATGTATATAATTTTCATCATTAAGTTTCTTAAATTGCGTTCCATATGTATTTAACATAAAATCCCATAACAATTTTCCATAAGGACAGCTGTATATCGGGCGACTTTTTTATTTGCCCAAAAGAAGCAGCTTCCGTTTGTCTGATGGCCCGTTCGCAACTTGATTTAATTAAAAGTAAAAATGACGCGCCGAAGTTAAAGGAATAAAATATTACCTCAATATGGATACTTAAATGCAAGTATGTATGTGTGTGCTTCCTTTACCCATTCCCAAACACTTTTTAAGGTCAATAAATGAGTAAAGAATTCGGGTAAAAATTCTTTTAATAATATCTTACGCAGCGATGCATAAAAAAGTTATTTTTTAAGAATGGGCATGAAGACATTGAAAAGGATCATTAAATTCTTAGCCTTTTTGTTGTATTTTCATTGGTTAAAGTTTTAACAATTTTGAATACATATTTAGAAAGGTTACTTTTGTTTTCGAAACGCAGTTTGAAAATAGGTGAAAATCAATTAAGTACAGTGAATCAATTAAGTTTAGGTACAGAGAGTTTTTGCAATACGGGCAACTGTTTATTAAATATTTTATTTTTTGCTGTTTCTTTTTTACAAAAATAAGGTTAATTCTACAGCAAAAACTCCAGAAATCAGAGTTCCAAACCTTATGCAAAATTAAAAAAATTTCATTCATTTATTGCACTTTTTATTTACACTTTTTAAAAAATAGTTGAGTATGCAATGAATGAGCAAAAAAAAAAAATTTGCGAAAAATAAAATATTTAAAAAATAAGTTCCCGTATTGCAAAAAATTATTCGCTGTACCTAAACCTTATTGCCTGACTGTACATACACACATACATTTGTACATAAATACGAGTGTGAACCGCTCACAAATGATTTGAAAATTAATAATTATTTTCTTTATCGACTACCGATGCAAATCGATATTGGGCTCAAGTTTGAATTCAATTATTAAGTATTTCTCTTATTTTTTAAGTCCGGCCGACTAGAGTTCAACAAATTTCTTCCGCCAATGTTCAATTTATTAGACAGTGAAGCAAACTATTTTATTGCATAAATTTCTTACGAGTACTATTGCACTTCTTTCCTCGCTTACCTGGGGCGCACCACTAATAAGGTACAAGCATTTTGAATACCGTTATAAAATACAGGGTATTCATCAAAACTCATAAATGCCTCGTAATCGTGTAAAACAACCCAAATAAACCGGTTTTCCATACAAAATTGCCCTATAATGTTGCAAAATACTGCAAAGCTATTAACTAAAATTTTAAGCTTTAATTAAGAAATTGCAAAATCCTTAATAGGGAAACTACGTTCTTGAAATATCTGATAGATTTCGAAGAATTTCTACTTCGCTAGCAATTCATGAGCAAATGTATGTACAATGTAAGACATCTATGGTTGCCAAATGTTCGAAGAATTTCTAAAATATTTACACAAATATGTAGGTATGGATGTAAATAAATTAAAAGTACGTGAGTCTGCACTTGCTGTCGGTTTCCAGATATCTTGCCATTCGCTTAACTATCGTCTTACTTAGTTCTAAATACATTTATTTGCCACACACACACATATGTACAGTGCCGGCCACTTTTATAGCGCCCCACTTTTGCAACTCAGTATTGCCAGTTTTATTACATTTTCATTCACTTTGTATAAAATAACAGCATATTCTATAACAAAAACCACGTAAGTCTGATTTTCAATCAAAATTGATAACACTTTTGAGTAAATATGCATTTTTGTAGCCCATCGATTTTATTTTTAGAAACTTTAAACTTGAAATACCGAAATTGAAGGACTATAAAATTGCATGCTCAAAAAGATTGGAAAAATTGTTGAAAATTTGTAAATTTGTTGATTTTAAAATTTTTTATAAAACGCTTTTTTACAAATGTTGTTTTTTTTTTGGATTAGAATATGCAATATTTTTATAAAAAAGTAATGAATAAACAAAAGGAACAGAGGCAATACCGAGGCTCAAAAGAGGGCGGTATTCAAGTGGCCGGCACTGCATATGTACATATGTATGTATGTATGAACGTACATGCACTTGCATATATTACATACATATGTACATAGATCGTCTAGCCACCCAATGGAGTTGTGTACTTACATATTTAGCTGGGTTTTGTTAGCCAAATGGGTATTTAAATAATTTCCAACTTGTGCAGGACATGTTTGCTTATGTATGTATGTATGTATATGTGGTTGAAACACACTAGTGTACGCCATATATATGTATGTACATATGCACGCCATTGAAGCAGGAAACCCATGCACGTACATAGATATATATGTATGTATGTGTGTACATATGTATGTACATTTCCCAAAGAACAGCTGATGGCATTTGTTAAACACAATGCATAAATACATAAGTATATTGATATATGTAACCAAATTGTTTTTACGTGTCAGGCTTGTTTTCGTTGTTGTTGTTATTAGCATTCGACCTTCGTAATGTGTTTGCAAAATGAAAAGCATCCACCGAGGAGGTCGAGCTCTCACGTCCCCACTATCAATGGAAGCTGATGGGCAATTGTATGACCAGAAACTTGCGAAGCGGAAGGGAGTAAAGTAAATGATTTTGGCACCATTTGTTTCCACTGGGTTAATGGGTAAATAAATAAACAGGAAAGGCGTGCGCCTAAAAGCCGGTCATACACTAAATATGTATGTATGTGTGTACTAAGTTGGTAGGCATTGGGAAAATGTGCTCACATGCTTGTTATAATGACCCGATGATAGGTTAGGGGATTTTATTTTGTATATTTATACAGAATTCAGGAAGTGATTATGGACTGCGTGTGGTGCGAAAATTGGACTATAGGTATGATTGAAGTGAAGTTTGTTGCAATAGGAAATAGTTACCACACAAGCTCTCTAAAATGGAGTTTTAAGGACCTAGAAGTGGGCACTACCATTACACAAGGCCTGGGTTCGAACCCGGTTTCTGAATAACATTAAAAATAAAATAAAAGAAAAAAAATAAAAGGAGCTCTCCCCTCGGCAGGAAATGGAAAACCTCCGGATGCCGTGAAAAACAGCTTCTCATAAAAAATTCAATCACCGTTAGGAGTCGGCGTAAAACTGCGTTCGCGTTTTGTATAAGCGCCCATCTATTATTATGATTAGTATTGAGTTAACTTTCCAAAAACCGTCTCTGTATATGCTTGTTAAGAAACCTGCGCTGCGACCCAGTTAGATAGATCAATTGAACAAACGATTGTACTAAGCGCTTTTGCACCCTGCAAGCTCCAGCCTCTTGAGGGACAATCATATGGAATATTCTCTGGGGGTTTCTCCATCTGTCCACCAAATCCACAGCCCATATCGTCGGTGGGTCCCATTTTACAAGGATGGTTACTTAGCCTGGAGTGTAGGTCTTCAGGCCCATTGCACCGCGAAATCTGCATAGGTTCGATATCGCTGAGCGTATAGTCGTTTAAAAGTCTCACTCTGTGGTGAGCTAGTGTTAGCCAGGTGGTAATGCAATGGTCCTACAGAGGCCGAGGATGGTTTGTTGCAC